CATTTCCATTTTACATTTGCTTACCAAATAAGTTTTATTAATTTGACCAATAAAACATTTCATTAATTTGACTATAAAAGTTTGAGCGGGAAAATTACATATGAGGATTTTACTTTTATATATATATAAATTCTATTGGTTCTAGGCTTTTAGCCTACACGGACACACCGGTCTACGCGGCGGAATATTTTTATTTTTATTTTAATCAAACGGGGCTCCGAATCTGAGCAAAAGCAGCTGAAAAGCCCTAATTTGAGTAATTTCCTAAGAGAAAACCTAGATACGAAACAGTTCAGGCAGAGGTTCGTATACAACAAAGAAAAAGAAGCATAGAGAGGGAAGCAACACGAAGCGATGTCTTACGACGACGTGGAGATCGAGGATATGGAGTGGAAGGAAGAGCTTCAGGCGTATACATACCCTTGTCCGTGCGGAGACCTGTTCCAAATTACCATGGAAGAGCTGAAGCAAGGTGAAGAGATCGCTCGCTGCCCAAGTTGTTCTCTTTACATCACCGTCATCTACAATATGGAAGATTTTCTCGGAGATAAGTCCAAGAAATCCCTCGATCCGCCTAAGCAGCAGGCCGTCGCCGTTAATTGACATGCCACTTAGGTCACAAAATTTTGCTTATTTTCTTTGAATTTTACACCATATATGTTTGTCTTCAATAGTTACATGCAGAAACACTAGAAATTTTCAATGTATTTTTGGATGAGTTTTGAATGGGTGATTTTGCCCAAATTTTCACAGTAATTGGTTGTTATTTTCAGTAATTGCAAATACTTGTGTTGCTTTGGTTGGCCATTACTTGGATCGGTTATAAATTTATTTTGCATATATGCTTTGCCTAAATCTTCATTAGACTTGTGAGAGTTAATGGTGCCCTCATGTTGAGCTCTCAAAAGTATAAAAGTGAAGCCTTTTGGTTTTCATATAGGCAATGGTATTTATGAATTAGCCTGCTTTATTCCAATAGACTGATGAAGGAATTGATTTGGTTGTTGTTCGTGAACATGGACTATTGTTCACGTACAAATTATGATCATGAACAGGTACATGTGTTTGTTTGTTTTGCGTTCACGAACTAACTGATGAAGGAACTGATTATTGACTCCGGTGTTAGGGAATGAGAAATGCCTTGGGTGCAAAAATGCAAACTTCACACAGATAATGGCTAATGTTTACCTTGGTGATGCATCATATTCTATTCTAGTTTCTTTAGAAAACCCAGTTTTTTTTTTGCATTATATGATAGCTTCTTTGTCTGTGGCTCTGTGCCAGCAAAAAAGTTGGGTGTTCTTGTTTGACATGCTACTACAGTCCTAATATCTCATGGCATCTGGTATATTCACTTCCACTGATTTTTAAAGCTAGTTGGAGCATTTCACTTCCATTCTTTAGTTAGTGGAGAGGCATCATTTTTCCATTATTTTCTGACTTGTTCCATAAAAACATCTAAAGTTGTGTTATCTTGGCTTTGTGTAAGTGGGCTAAGTGCATATTTTGTTATCATGGACAACAAACTAATGCATATCTCGTGTCAGTGCTTTCATTTCGTATCTTTTTTCTAAAGGAGAGTGAAGATCATGCAAATAGTAAATTCGTCGGCCTTTTCCAAGTGCATATTTTGCTATCATTGGCATTATTTAACCCATTTACAATGCTCACATGTTTTTTCTGTTTCTTAAAGTCATTGAATTGAAGATCATGCATTATGCATACAGATTGATTGGCACTTCTCTGATCTATCCTATAGAGGCTGTTTTAAACTTTTAATATTCTCTGCCATCTATAAAACTGGTCTGCTCAGGATGTTGGGGTAATCTGGAGGTTGATGGAAAGAGAGACCTGGAATATTATACCAAGACTTTCTTTGCCTGAGCTCCCTGCATCTATGCTTCTTATATTTGCTTATGATATGGGCATCGGTCTGGTTTTGGTTTCAAAAATTGAGGAATGAGAGCAGGTTCCACAGCGGTTTTGGTTCCGGTTGTAATTCATTCCCGGAAAGAAAAACCGCAAAATGGTTTTTAACGGGTTAATGGTTATGTATATGTGGCTCATAACATGACTGACTGACTATGCAATGCTATTCGGAAACTTAACAATTCCATGGATTCATACTCCAATGCTATTAAACAATGGTACAAGCCTGCAAAAACTTGAATAAGGTTTAATCATGCATCACAATTCCATCGTCTTGAAATTTATTATAGATTATCGGCCTTTGTCATCTAATCTAAGCTATCAACGGTGATGGAAAGAACTCGCCTTGGAGGCAAAATATATGGGTGCAGAACAGCTTTAAGCTTGTGTATGGTATATACATACAACGTTGTGGGGAATAGAAAAATTGGAGGTGCGGGGAATCAAACCCCGTGCCTCTCGCATGCGAAGCGAGCGCTCTACCATATGAGCTACACCCCCTTTGTCAATCTTTTATGTCATTAATATTATACTATGATCCAAAGTTGACCTACTTAAATTGAGAAGGCGTATAAGCTTTCATATATCCTGGCATTCAGTGGATTTGCATTAGTTCTGTAACAATCCATAGCAACTTGTTTGCATCTGGCAGGATATGACTACTCCAGCCAAGAAAGAGGCGAAGATGATAGCTTCAAAAAGGTTGCAGCAGCTGGCAACGTTGTTAATACTAATAATGTCAAAATGATGAGTCTATTTGATATAAGATTCAATGGCGCCACACTTGGGATCCCCTCTTTCAGACTTGAGGATTCATCGGTCAGCCTGGTCTCTTCAAGAATTTTATAGCCTACGAGCAACATTCAATTGATGTGTATGTATTCCAAGTATTTCTCAAATTACATGGTATTCATGGATGATCTTATCAAAACAGACAAGGATGTCAGCATACTTCGTCTGAATGGAATTATCTTAAATGGGCTAGGTAATGACAATGAAGTGGCTCATCTTTTTAACACCCTATCTAAAGGGGTCGTATATTCTAGTCGTGACTTCTGTTATGCTAATGTGTGCTACGATTTGATTCAACATTGCAAGAAACCAAGGAATGTGTTGATGTCAAAGTTAAGACGTGATTATTTCACAGTCCATTATGGGCAGGGATTTCAACCGTTGCAGCTATACTGCTTATTTTCCTCACTGCTACACAGACTATCACAAGTATCTTGGGTCTGCATAAATAATATATATATATATATATATATATATATATATATATATATAAAATAATGCCATGCATCCAATAAGCTAGTGTGTGGTGTGTTCAGTTTTTTAAGTCTATTATGCAAAGTGTGAGCAATAAACACTTTTATTATCATTTTACCTGCAGGCCTGTACTTCAATTCTCTATTGTAATTAACAAACCAAGTTGCATGCGGGCATGGGAAAGAGATATGGGTTTTCACCACTATATATACACTACTCTTTTATAGGATGTTAGCATTGTATAGTTTAGAGTATCCCTCTGGCGTGCATGAAGTGCAACTCGCGGGCATGAATGTCGTCCATCCCAAAAGATTGGAAGGTGCTACTGTAACTTTTCAGAAATTATTCAGAAAGATCTAAAATTTTTAAATATTAAATATAACCGTTTCAAACGTGTTAATATGATTATTTAATAAAATTTATTGTGCCAATTAATGCTTTGATTTTATCATCCCCTTGTTTTTGGGCAGATTTTAAGAACTATAAAAATCACTTTCTTTCTACTCCTACATTGTCTTCTTCCTAAAACTCTACCCATTCATTATGGATATAGCTTGTGTTGAAGCGGTTGTACTATTCTAGTTCACTGAAGGTACTATAGTGCTTGAACTATAGTATCATTAATCAATTTTATTATCCTAAGAGATTGATGCTACAACGTTCCAACACTCCTAAGAGGTAGCTAGCGGTGAACAAAAAAATCAAACCGACCGAAAAATTGTTGACCGATAATCGAACCGTCCGAAAAGTTCGATTATCAGTTTTCTAATTCAAAATTTTCATTTTTTCGGTCGATTATCGATTTTCTTGAAAAAGAATCAATGATCAACCAAAAAACCGATATTTAAACAAGTGAAAAATAAATAAAATTATTAATTTTATAATATATTTTAACTTAATATTATTATTTGAAAGTGCTTATTGCTACCTTTGGGATTTGATACAAGAAAGATATACATATTTTTAAAGGAGGACTATTTCTAAAATAACAAAGTCCAATCATTAGTTTACCAATCATTATTGTATAGACCATGGTCCACACAAGTTGTGTAGACCATATTTTATTTACTGTAAAATAATGTACATTTAGTTCAAAAATAATGTATATTCAGTACAAAAATAATGTACATTATATTCAGGGGATGTACATTATTTTTTTCTGAGTGTACATTATATAGTATAATGTACATTCAGTACAAAAATAATGTACATTTAATATATTAAAAATGTACATTTTATTATGGTCCACATAACATTGTGTGGACCATGGTCCATACAATACTTTGCCTACTACAAGGCCCATTTGAACAAAAGAATCACCAGTACAGAATTGCAGATACGCTACCATTATAAAAGATAATAAGCGACCATTGTACAATGGTTGCCTATGAGAGGCTCACGAAAAGCCATGGGCTTTATGCGACCATTTTTAAATGGTCACGCATTGTTAGTAATACGCGATTGTTCTTAACAAGAATAGTCGCGTATTGTATTTATTTTATTATTATTATTTTTAATTCGAAGGTAAAACGCGACCATTTTGAAGCTAGAAATGGTCGTATTTTCCTTTTTTATTTTTTGAATAATTAGTCATCCGCGACCATTTTAGGCTAGGAATGGTCGCGGATGACTTTTTAATTATTTAATTAATTATTTTATTTAATTAAAATCCTTAATTTTTTTTTTTTTATAATTCCTGTACCTGTTATAGCTTATTCAAATCCTATCAATATTACTCCATAATACAATTTATCTATCAACACACTTTAAAACAATACATTTAACACACAATGCAAATACTATCATCAAATTAAACACAATGCAAATACTATCATCAAAATACAATAGCACTTAAAATTCTCATACTTTAATACAATAATATCATCAAAACATGCCCAACTCAATACTATCATCAAAACAAAATACTTTTTATCAATAAAATAAAAGTTATAAGCACTCGGAAAGAAGAACTTTAACCAATGCTCTCGAAGCTCATTTATGTCGTCGATAGAACACGGACTATCGCTTTCAAATGCCTACAAAAAATTAAATTAATAAAATTATTAAATATGTTAATTAATAAAATATAACTTAACTATACATAGTTCTATTTAAATTCACTTACCCCATCCAAATTATCAACAGATGAATATTTTGTCACGATGTCATACATGTATCGCATGACATAATATCCACACTCATGACCTCCCGGTTGGATCGGGCACTACAAAATACATATATTATTTTACTAATTTAAACAACTTACTGTAATTCAAAATATTACACTAACAGGACGTTTGGTTGGAGTGAGGGAATTATGTGGGAAATGAATTGTAATTCCATGGGAGATGAATTACTGGGAATAAAGTGGGAATTTAAATTCCAGTGTTTGGTTTACAGAAATAGAATTACTGGGAATTTTAATTCCAATGTTTGGTATACATGGGAATTGAAAGGGGAATAAGTAGAAGTCAAAAATGTCCATTGTTGTTGTTAGACATTAATTTTAGGTTAAAAAAGGAAGGGGTAATTTTGACTCATCACTATCTTGTTTTCTTCTTAAAATCCCAGGAATTAAAATACCGGGGGGGGGGGGGGGGGGGGGACATGAGATTTTAATTCCATAAAAATGGGGGAATTGCAATTCCTTCCAATCAAACTACAGAATTTAATGGTCTTTGGAATTATGTGGAAATTATGTGGGAATGGAATTTAAAATCCCTCCAACCAAACGCCCTGTAAAACTTAAATTCAATTTTCATACATACTTTGCATGGCTTCCAATTGATGCTCTTAACCCATGCACTCGTAGGAACAAAGCGAAATGCCCTATAATAATTATAAGCATAAATAAAAATTTATAAATAATATCATAGATGCTAAAATACTTATATAAATAATAAAGTATTTACTTACAAATTCACAGAGCCTTTAATTAAACCTATGTTGCGATTAGAAGGCAAGGGATCCAAGATGCATACGCTTTTTGACCGTATGCAAATCACCAAAAGTAACCAATGAGAGCTACATTTAAAAACACAAATATATATTAAAAATTTAATATCTAATACTCCAAATATAAAGTTATGAGTTATATTAATAAAATATAAGAACAATTTTCTTACTCTTGATGATATGATGCTAAAATAAAGTTTTTATCTTTGTGATGCTCCATGACGTGGATGAAATATGATGTAACTTTGCTGGAACTGCTTTTAAGCATAGTGTGTGGCAAATTTGAGTCGGACAGACAAACCCGATTGACCTAACGTCATACTGATTGCACAACTGATTACGAAATCTGAAAATTAAGAAATAATGAATAAGAAACTTCACTAAATATAGGTAAACATATATAAAATACAGTAATAATTAAAAAAAAAAAAAACTTACAGTATAAACACTTGTATGATTGAGACATTAAGCCAATTCATTATCATCAAATCCACTATATCATTCATCATCACAAAAATATAACTTGTGTTTTTATGATGGAAGATTGCTTTATCCAGCTCCAACTCAATACAGTCTTTACCAAGTGGAAAGCCTGTCAACAAATCCACTAAACACTTGCAATTCTCCCCCAAGTGCGGTAAGACATCATCACCAACAATGGGAGCTCGTGCACCAGTAGTAGATAGATCAGCACTTTGATCTTTTGGTTTCATATTTTGTTTTGATGAACTCTACAAATATAAAATTGTAAGTTTACTAACCCCTTTTAAATATATATATATAACGAAAACTAACTTAATAACTAAATAAAAGAATGCATACCTCTTCTAAAGTCACTAAATGCATAGGCCATTGTGCAAAACTGCTACTATATCTGCAATAGTGACATATTGCTGATCTGGTAAGGGGAGATTAAAGTGTTCTCTACCCTTAATCACTTCATCCACCGAAACTTTAACACAGTTATGCAACAATGGTTGGTGATTCACCAAAGTCTCGTCAGTACTTGGATGAGCCATACCCTTTGCAACATCAATTGGTGTTTCATTGGGACATACTGCTAGTAAACACCTTTTTGGACTCTATTATTTAAAATTGTGTGTTAATCTTAATCTAACAAGAAATAATTTTTTGATATATGAAATAACTTTTAATATTACCTGAACTGTTGTAACTGGATTTGTGTCAACTGAATGACAACTGCTACAACTGAACCATAAGGTCGATACCGGTTTCTCACATATCCTTTCAATATTCCCATATATCTTTCAAACAGATACATGTACCTCAAAAAAACCGGACCACACATCTTAATTTCTCTCACCAACAATCAAGTGCACCATAATAAAAAAAAAAAAAAAAAAAAAAAGATGGAGGAAGATACATTTCAAATTGACACAAAGTAACAACCACATCAGCCTACAGATCATTTAACAAATCTAGATCAATAAATTTACTGCAAATAGCATTGAAAAAGAAACAAAGCTTTGTTATAGCCTGCCTAACATGTTTCGGTAGGATGTCTCGAATAGCAATAGGTAACATGTGTTGCATTAATACACGACAATCATGAGACTTCATGCCAACCAACTTAAGGTTCTTCATCGGCACAAGTTTCTTAATATTCGACGAATAACCAGAAGGAACCTTGACATCATTTAAACAGGAACAAAAAACTTGTTTTCTCTTTTTTTGGATAAAGTATGACAAGTTGGAGGTAAGTATGTCTGCTTTCCTAACTCTTTTGTGGTGCTAACTTATCCCGTATTCCCATTTCAACCATATCCTTTCTAGTCTTAACACTATCTTTCGTCTTCCCTTGAATGTTTAATAGTGTCCCAATAATGCTGTCACAAACATTTTTTTCAACATGCATAATATCAAGACAATGTCTAACTGATAAATGCTCACAATATGGTAGATCCCAAAATATAGACCTCTTCTTCCAATGAGTCGTTTGATTAGTCTTACAAGTCTTATCTTGGTAGATCCCAAAATTAACATCAATATGGTAGATCCCAAAATTAACATCAATATTCTTAACATGTTCATAAATAGTATGTCCAGATAAAGGTAAACGAGCAACTCGAGTCTCAAGATTTCCATTAAAATCCTTTCTCTTCTTACAATAAGGATGACCCGTAGGGAGAAACGTCCTATGGCTCATGAACACATTCTTTTTGCAGTTACTCAACCATAGACTGGGAGTTTCATCTTCACAAATTGGGCATGCCTTAGCTCCTTTAGTAGTATAACTCGATAGGTTACCATAAGCTGGGAAATCATTTATTGTGCAAAAAATCATTGCATGTAAGGTAAATCTCCTTCGAGTATAAGCATCATACACCGGCACACCTTCATTCCACAAAATCTTTAAATCCTCAACAAGTGGCCCTAGATATACATCAATGCCACTTCCTGGTTGTTTAGGCCCTGATATCAACAACGACAACATGATGTATTTTCTTTTCATACACAACCAAGGTGGAAGATTGTAAACTACTAAAAGAACAGGCCAAGTACTTTGTCGACTGCTCATGTTACCATGAGGATTCATTCCATCAGTACACAGTCCAAGTCTAAGATTTCTATTTTCAGAACCGAAATCAGGCCACCTCCTATCAATATTTCTCCATTGAGGTGAATCAGCCGGATGTCTCAGTTTTCCATCTTCTTTTCTTCCAATAGCATGCCATTGCAAATTTTTTGTCTCTCTTGGATTAGCAAACATGCGTTTAAATCTTGGTATTACAGGTAAGTACTATAATACTTTGGCTGGGGGATCTTTCTTATTCTCACACGCATCTTTGTTTTTATAACGTGATGCTCCACACTTTGGACACACATGCAAGTCTTTGTAATCTTTTCAATACAAAATACAATCATTTGGACATGCATGTATCCTCTCAATATCCATACCCAAAGGACACAACATTTTTTTTTGCTTCGTAAGTTGAATTAGGAAGTTCATTGTCGCCCGGAAGCATGTCTTTTAGTAGTTCTAATAATCCCGAACTCTTATCACTCCATCCATTCTTTGCTTTTAAATTATACGGAGTATAATTTAAGCACTCAAGATAACTTAGTAAATTTAGTACTTCCAGGGAACAACGGTTTTTTCAGCATTGTCAAACAAACTTTTAAATTCAGGAGCCATTTCACTAAAATGTTCCTGCACATCACGCATCATTTCATCTATTCGGTCATTATCTTCATCATTCTCATCATTGCTAACATGAGATGCATTATTCTTCTCATTATCTTCAAGAGTTTGACAATTTGCTTTAGTTTTACTATGTGCATGAGTTTCACTATCTATATATTTTTTCTTAATTACACTTTTACTAGGAATTAAGCTTTCACCATGCCATATCATCTTGTGTATCCTTCCTTAAAACCACGGCGTATCAAATGACTCTTCACTTCATCAGAATTACGATATCTTTTAAAATTCTGATAATCGCAACAAGGGCACACAATAAAGTTCTCCCCCTTTTTACTCCTATTTTCTTCAGCACATTGTATAAACTCTTGAACCCCTTGCATATATAGGAATGTAGTGCGTTTTCCAAACATCCAACTCCTATCCATATCTGTGAATTCATAAAATACTACTCTAAGTACTATGCAGATATGGATACACAATGGTTATAGAGATGTTCCCAAGCTATTCTCGTTTTTTTTTTTTTTTAAATTTATTATTTTTCCACTAGTGAACAAGTAAGCTCACGTGGTTATGTTATTTTTTTTTTTATTGAAAACCATATGGGCAGTAGGTAGTTGTGTAGGACATTACATCCAACTTTGTTTTATTTATAATTATATTCTTCTTATATTTCAATGGTTTAAAATAAAAATTTTATGTGTATCATAATCATCTCTTTATTCTGAAAAATTGCCTTCTTGATTCAACAAATTTTATACTTAACTCATCAACAAATTCAATCTAATTCATCAAACTAAATAATTCATACTCAATATATATATTAACAACCTATATAATTCATATTCAATCTAATTAATCAAATACCTAATTAATTCATCCAACAACTATTGAGCCAAATTCACAAATGTATAAAATTTATAAAAATCATAAAGTATCACATTTATTTATCTATTAAAATAATAATTACACAATATATATATATATATATATACACATATATATATATATATATATATATATATTAACAATTAAAAAAAAAAACTAACCTGCAGATTGGCGGCTGGGGAGGCGGCAGTGGCGTCAGCGAGGATGGCGTCTGTTGCAGTGCGTCGTGGTGGGGGCATGCGACGGTGTACGTGGTGCTGTGCGTGCGTCGCGGTGAGTACGGTCATCGCAGGCCAACGGCGTGGTGGCGGTGGGTCGGCGGCGGCGTAGAGCAGCGGCGATCGGAGCAGAGCAACGGCGAGAGTATGTAGTATGAGATGGAGTATGTAGTTTGAGAGGATTTCGATCTGATGAGTAGATCTAGGGTTAATCTTAGGCAACCATTTCTAATCATTTCTATTATAAATTATTGCCTATTATAAAACAAGTTCTATTTTAAGGCAATCATTTTTATTAGAAATGGTTGTGTATTATAAATCATTTTTTTTATAAATAAATACAAAATACAATAGGCAACCATTACAGCTAACAATGGTGGCGGATTATTGATAACTTATTGATAAAATTGCCATCGCAAATTTTTGGGTTAAAATTAGACAATCATTTTTTAACAATGGTGGCCTGATCAATTTTCTATGTTCAATTTTGTACTATTGAATCATAAGTTAAAGAATTATGGACTCCGGCGGCTGGCTCATTTGGATTAAAAAAAATAATAGCTAATGACCAATGAGTCCACATAAAATTATTAAATTTAAAAACAAAATGCCCTTAATAAAACATTAAAACCTAGTCCCTAACTTCTAATTTGCATTCTTCTTTTCACCCCTAGGTCAACGCGCCTCGCGCAGAATTCAGCAGAAGTTCAGAAAGCAGATTCACGCTCATCGCTCCTCACTCCTCACTGCTTCACGCCTAAGTTGTTGTTTTGTAAAATTCAAGGTTAGAATTTAATGTGTTTTAATTTTTAAAATTTAAATGTTAAACTTCAGAATTTCGTCTTATATATATTTACTGTTTTTAGTTTTAAAAATTTATGTTTACAATTTTAGATTTGCTTACTAAACTGGAGTATTTTTATGTTTAAAAATTGTTATTTGCCAAAATTCAAGGACAACTACCTCGTTCATATATGGCCCTGTTTGGTTATTTTTAATCTAACAAATTTAAAGTCATTGACTCACTGCATATCACATACTAAAGCTCGGTTATTGTTATTTTTGGCCAACCCATAACCGTCGATTTTGGTTATATCGATTTTCTTATATTATTGGTCGGTTTCGGATTATGCGGTTCTATAAAAAAATTTCTGTTATTTCTGTTTTTAACCAATAATCGACCGAAATATGCTCACCATAGTGTGAGTATTCATGAGACGGTCGTCTATACATACTTATTATTAACTAATAAAAACTTAGATGTTAGATTTGTTGTTGAACTTAAATGTAATGATTGTTTTAAACATATTAATCAATTTTTAGTTATTCTTCGATAGTATTAGCAATTATTTAACAAATAAAAATTATAAAATTTTAAATATTTCAAGAATTAGTGTAGTTAAGATATATATTATTTGGGGTATCCTCAATCAATTTGGTTGGACAATTGACTTAGTAACTAAAAGATTTTGAGTTTAACTTCTCATGAAGGTTGTATGTTAGCCAAGGACGGAGCCAAGGGGGGAGAGGGGGGGGGAGGGCAGAGGGGGCAGCTGCCCCCTCATCCCATCCCACCCCCACCCCACCCTATATATAACCTTTGTATGTATATATGTATATATAGTGCAAGTTTTAATTATTAGTATATAAAAAACAAATGAATGTTAATAAGAAGTTAATTAGATTAGTTGACAAAACATGTTTTGGTTATAATAAAAGTTATGGGTTCAAAACTTAGTGCCTACACATTTTCACAGTTTTTTTGCTTTCAACACAATCACGTTTTTAATAGTTTTTTTTTTAAAATATTTAATACACACACATATATAACATTCTTTTATATTAATAATTAGATGTGTAATTTATAATGTGTTTTTTTTATTCAAATTATTTTTTTTAATATTTAATACACACACACATATATAACATTCTTTTATATTAATAATGAGATGTGTAAATTTATAATGTGTTTTTTATTCAAATTATTTTATCAAATTAATTGTGTTTTATTTTTTGTTATGAATATTTTTATAAAGTTTCGATGGGTTTTATTTTTTGCTCATATCTAATAATATTTATATCTATATTTCTTAGATATTTTTTTTTTCAAATTATCTCTTTTGTTTTAAAATTTAAAGTTTCGGCTTCACTGGAAATTTTTTTTGGATCCGTTCCTGCTTTTTCGCTCCCCTCAACGGAATTCCTCGCTCCGTCCTTGATGTTAGCCTTCTTGATTTGAACATGCCATCTATGAACAATCTAAACTGATTTACCTCATTATGACCCTTTGTTAACTAGATCACAATTTGATTTCATTCAGAGCACAGCTTCCATGTAGACATTGTACTCGTAAATCAAATGGTATATATGTGTGCGTGTATATATATTACTCTTTATTTAGAAGTGTCATTATTTACCATTCAAACAAAATTTTCAAAATTAATACAATCAAATACAACCTAACATGCCAAAGACCTTATAACCAAGCGGAATGAAGTGACTCTCTCAATTGGGATGAACAGATACTACCTTGTAACAAGATCAATAGTAAAGAAAAAAAAAAACAAAAAGAAAAAACAACCTAACATATTACGTTGAATAAATATTTTTATTATCACAAATTATTTTTAATTAAAAAATTCAGGGCAGCACCACTCTGACCTAACCTGCTAGTTAAATAAATGACAGATTCTGCAGCCCGGTATTAATAATAATGACTCAGACTGAACTTAATTGGGAAGTTGACTTGGGATCACTCATCACATCACATATATAAAAAGCAACAATAAGCTCGCTTAGCTTCATCCAAATTACAAACTTCTCACATAATAACCTTCCTAATACCACTTTCAAAAAAAAAAAAAACCTTCCTAATACCAAATTCAGCGACGTAAGTTTCTTTGCTCTCATCAACTTTCTTAATTTTCATATTTTACTCTTGACTTTATAATGAAATTCACTAAATTCGATTCAAATTATCTAAAATGTTGCTCCGTATCAGTTTTACTAAACTTTATATTTTTGTATATAGAGGACATTCTTAACCTTTTTTTTTTGTTTTTTTTTTTTTTTTTTTTTGTGTGTGAATGTGAATGTGACTGTTTGAAAAAGTTGAGATATCAAAAGTCATCAAATTGAATCAAAAATTGAAAATGTCATATTGTATATATAGCCGATCGAATAGCTAGAGTAGAATTAATTCATTTGTTTATTTATCTTCCTACTCTAACTTGTTTTTTCTCCTCTCTTCTTGATTGTTATAAGAATAGGATAAGCGAAGCCATGGCGTCTGACATTGACATGAATCCTTGCAAAGAATCTCATAAAAAAGAAGAGAAGAAAAAAGAGGAGGTATTCAAAAAGAATGAAATGGTTAGCAAATTAATTTTCAACTAGTTTTTGTCCCAACATCAATTTTAAGCTTACCAATCCTACACAACATAATATTTTTTTTTGATATTGCACTAATATTTACATTATGCAGAATACAACTAATCCAGTTGAGTTTAGATCATGCCATATTCTGGATCCTCCGGAGTCTTCTGCATCGGGTCAAATTCCAATAGCTAGGAATCCATCCAAAGAACATAAAAAAGAAGAGAAGAAAGAGAAAGAAGAAGAGAAGATAGAGACGAAGAAAGAGGGTGACAAATACTATATATTCTTTTAAATACTGCTCTAATATTTACATTACGCAGCAGAATACTAATCCAGTCAAGTTTGGATTATATCCTACTCATTCTCCCCCGGCTCTCCTCCTCCGGTGTCTTTTGCAGCAGGTCAAATTCCAATCAATAGGATCCCTTCCAAACAGAAAGATGAGAAGAAGGAGATGAAAAAGGAGATGAAAGATGATTACCATCGTAAGGTTAGCAATTTAATTGTCTATGAAAGTCCAAACTTAGTTGCATATAATTATGGCCAATTATATCATCAATCATGGTTTACCTTGTATCATAGATCATGATTTATTATTATAATATGGTAGGTTTATTATCATAATATTGTAGATTCATTAAGATGACAATGTTGGTACCGATGGTAGAAAAACAAATAATAATCCAGTAAAAAGATTATTATTTTCTATAAAATTAAAGAAGGGAATGAAATATGGAGAATTTGATTTGCACCTCCCGAGAGAGAGCCTCTATGCTATACAATTCTACAAGCTTCAAAAGAGCTCTTGTATATAGGGGGGGGGGGGAATCCTCATTCCAAACCAATGTAGGACAAAGTTCACTTTTTCCCTTCATTTTTCCAACTCAATGGGTCTATATTGAGAATCAATATCTCATTCACCCATTATCCGTTTAGAGCTTACAATATATCAATCTCTTCGTCTCACTACGAAGTACCCGAATCCACTTTGACCCGACCCAAATTGGAAGTGGACCCCACTGATAATTGTACCACAAAATAGCCACTTAACATGCCATTTTAAGCTATTTTTTCCAACAATCCCCCACATGAATGAAAAATTGATTTTCGGGGTATTTTGAAATCGGAAACAACTGTGTTCAAACGGTCGATCCCTGCATAGGATAGGTAGGGAGTCACTATACCCTTTGAACCTTCCCTTGTGAAGACATGTTTACTCTACTGGCTGTACGGTAGAACGCGATGTCTTTGAACCGACTGCCGTTTGTGTAGACGATGACATATCTCACACAGGAATCTCCCAACCATGCTCTTGCTCTCACGAGTGTGCCCGTTTTGGTTGTGGGTCACCGTTCCTGGTTCTGCGAGAGTTTCTAAAGAATTGTGCCCAACAATGCTCCTTTGAAGCGACCCTCACTTCTCTCTAACATAGGTGATTCTTTCTCGAGTTTCCCGCATACTCAAGAATCATTAAAGCATTAACATGCTAGCCTCTTGCGGGAGTCACTGTTTTAACGAGGAGTGGTAGGGAGTCCGAGACCCCCACAGTGACGCGCTCCGTTCCATAATTTAGTTGTCCCATTGAACTTGAGTGCCAGCTAGGTTGGGTATCCACTATAGAACTTTTAGTCCAAGGGCATTAGACCCATTCCTCGTGTCAACTTCTCCACAACTTCTTTGCCTAACCCTTTGGTCAGCGAATCCTCTATATTGTCTTTTGACTTTACGTAGTCAATCGAGACAACACCAGTTGTGAGCAGTTGTCTAATGGTGTTATGTCTACGACGCACATGTCTAGACTTACCATTATACATATGACTCTGTGCTCTCCCAATTGTGGCTTGACTATCGCAATGCACACATATTGGAGGTACCGGTCTTTCCCAATTAGGAATATCCTCTATAAAATGGCGTAGCCATTCAGCCTCTTCACAACCTTTGTCCAAGGCTATCAGCTCAAATTCCATCGTGGATCTAGCTATCACAGTTTGCTTAGAGGATTTCCACGCAATGACCGCACCGGCTAGTGTAAACACGTAGCCACCCGTGGACTTTGAGTCCTTAATATCAGATATCCAATTCACGTCGCTATACCCTTCAAGTACAGCGGGATATCTCCCGTAGTGCAGTCCAAGATCACGAGTATACCTTAAGTATCTCATAACCTTTATTATTGCCTTCCAGTGCATAGCACCGGGGTTACTCGTATATCTACTGAGTTTACTAACCGCATAGGCAATATCCGGCCTAGTACAGCTCATAAGATACATCAAACTACCAATAACCCAAGCATATTCCACTTGTGAAATACCTTCTCCGTGGTTCTTGGTTAGATGAATGTTTGTATCAAATGGTGTCCTAGCCACTTGACTATCATCCTTGTTAAATTTCTCAATGATTTTGTCAATATAACGTGATTGGCTCAACACGAGACCATCAGGTCTTCTAATGATTCTAATCCCGAGGATTAAATCGGCCAAACCCATATCCTTCATGTCAAATCTCGCATTTAACATGTTTTTAGTAGACTTGATCATCCGATCATTACTACCAACGATGAGAATATCATCAACATATAAACAAAGGATGACGTAGCCGTCTATCGTTTCCTTAACGTAGACACATTTGTCACTTTCGTTTATTTTAAACCCATTAGTTAACATCGCATGGTCAAACTTCTCGTGTCACTGCTTAGGCGCTTGTTTCAAACCATAGAGCGATTTAACCAACTTACACACTTTCCTTTCTTGGCCCGGAACCACGAACCCTTCGGGTTGTTCCATATAGATTTCCTCATCTAATTCTCCGTTTAGGAAAGCGGTTTTCACATCCATTTGATGAACTTCCAAGTTCTGCAACGCGGCTATGGCAAGTATCATTCTAATGGAGTTTATTCTCGTCACGGGAGAATACGTGTCGAAGTAATCGAGGCCCTCGCGTTACCTGTAACCCTTGATTACAAGCCTAGCCTTATACTTCTCGATGGAACCATCAGGTTTCATCTTCCTTTTAAAGACCCACTTGGATCCTAAGGGTTTACTACCCGGAGGAAGATTAACAAGTTCCCAAGTGTGATTCTGTAGGATAGAATCCACTTCACTTTTTATAGCCTCTTTCCACATTGGTCCTTCCGTAGAAGTCACGGCTTCTACGTACGTTCGAGGCTCGTTTTCTATCAAACAAGATAGAAAATCAGGTTCATTTTCTAATAAACAAGTTAGAGTACACGAATCGTACTCTAACAAATAAGTTAGAAAATCGGGACCGAATGATTTTCCAACTCTCGCCCGCTTACTGCGTCTCGGCTTGAGCTTGGGTTCTCTCTCAGATCCCCCACTATCATTATCCATAGTTTCGTCAAATGTTCGTTTTGACGTACTTGGTCCCTCGTTGGACCTACAAGGAAATATATTTTCGAAGAAATATGCATTCCTTGATTCTATTATCGTGTTCTCATATACGTCCGGATTATGGGACTCATGTACTAAGAACCGATAAGCACTACTATTATGTGCATAACCAATAATGATACAGTCCACCGTCTTAGGACCTATCTTTACTTTCTTAGGTGTTGGCACCAACACTTTGGCAAGACACCCCCACACTTTCAGGTACTGGTAGGAAGGTTTCCTACCGTTCCACAGCTCATAAGGAGTCTTATCGAGCTTCTTGCGGGGTACCTTATTCAAAAGGTAATTGCTTGTCAAAATCGCCTCACCCCAAGCATCGCATTCATCATATCTTTCAATGTACGATTTTTCCGTTCGGCAACACCGTTCGATTGAGGTGAGTAAGGTGCAGTACGCTCGTGTATTATTCCTACACTTGCACAAAAGTCACCAATAGGTGCTTCGTACTCAACACCTCGATCGCTTCTAACTTTCTTAATTCTCCGATTAAGTTGGTTTTCCACTTCATTCTTATAAAGAATGAATTTATCAACGGCTTCATCTTTGCTCTTAAGCAAATACACATAGCAGTATCGTGTGCTATCGTCGATAAATGTGATAAAATACTTATTACCACATCTCGTTTGTATCGATCTAAAATCGCACAAATTACTATGGATTAATTCTAGTGGTTCAGTTTCCCTTTCAACCGATTTGAAAGGTACTTTCGTTAGTTTTTCCTCAACACAAATTTCACACTTGTTATTTGTGTCAATTTGAAAGTTAGGAATATGGTCCATGCTAATTAATCTACGCATAGAATTAAAATTAACATGACCTAGTCTACCATGCCATAAATTGGAAGACTCAAGGAAGTAAACAGAATTAACTTTGCTTTTATTGATAACATGAATTACACTGAGCTTAAAAAACCCATCAGTTACATATCCTTTACCAACAAACATCCCTAACTTGGACAAAACTACTTTGTCTGACTCGAACACCATGTGAAAGCCATGTTTGTTCAACAGTGAGCCAGACACAAGATTCTTCCTCAGCTCAGGAACATACAACACGTTGTTCAACGTCAGTTCTTTCCCGGAAGTCATCTTCAGAACCATCTTGCTCATGCCTTCCACAGCAGACTGAGCAGAGTTTCCCATCTACACCTTTTCACCCTCAACGGTCTCAAAGGTGTTGAACATCTCTCGGTTGCAACACAAGTGTCTGGTTGCACCGGTATCAATGAACCACTAACGAGGGTTTGAGCCCACGAGGTTCACCTCGGTCACCATAGTCGAAAGGCTAATCTCGACCTCCTTCTGACTGCTATCTCCAACTACATTGGCCTCAGAACTCTTGTTCTTCTTCCTTGGAGCCTTGCATTCAGATGCTCTGTGGCCAGTTTTGCCACAATTGTAGCACTCACCAGGAAACTTGTTCTTGGTAACGCCACCTTTCGGACCTAGCTTTTGCTTGCCCTTATTGTTCCTCTTGGAGCTCTTACCGTGCTCCACAACGTTGGCCTTAGCGCCAACAACGATAGGAACTTTCCTATCATTCGTCCTGTTCCCTTCTTCAATTCTGAGTCGCTGGATCAGGTCCTCCAGATTCATTTCTTTTCGCTTATGCTTAAGGTAGTTCTTGAAGTCCTTCCAACCTGGAGGCAACAAGTGGATCACGGATCCCACTTGGAAGGCTTCACTTAGCACCATGCCCTCGTCACGGATCTCGTCAAAGATTAATTGCAAATCTTCTACCTGACTTAGCACGGTCTTTGAATCAACCATTTTGAAATCAAGGAATTGGCCAACCACAAATTTCTTTGAGCCGGCATCCTCACTTTGATATTTATGATCCAAAGCTTCCCACAACGCTTTTGATGTGTTTATCTTTCGATATACATCGTATAGCGTGTCACACAATCCATTCAGGATGTAGTTTCGACAAAGGAAGTCTGAATCCTTCCAATAGCCAACTGCCATCACGAATTGTGCTTCTTGTTCCTTCAACTCGGGAACCTTCTCGGACAAGAACCTTGCCAAGCCGAGAGTTGCTAGGTAGAACAACATTTTCTGTTGCCTCCTCTTGAAGTTCGAACCAACACCGGTGAACTTCTCCGGATTTTCAGCCGAACCACTCGGTACCGACGGTACCCGAGACATGGGAATATATCCCTCAGTGCTCCCACCATCTTGTGAACCAACGTTCACTGGTGTAGCTTGGGAATTGGCAACATTGTTGCTGTTTCCTCCATTGTTGTTCTCAACAACATTTTCTTCCCCATTGTTAACGATAGGCAACTCGAGGTTCTCCATTTCTTCAAAGAAATTAGAGAAAACAACCAACGGGAAAACAAGGAATAAGGTTTTAAGACTGTTGGTACCGTTGGTAGAAAAACAAATAATAATCCAGTAAAAAGATTATTATTTTTTAGAAAAGAAGGGAAGGAAATATGAAGAATTTGACTAGTGTTTGGTGTTGGGTTTTTGCAAGAGTCAAGTGATCACTCTTTCCTTAAAACCTTATTTGCCACCTCCCAAAGATGCTAGGAGCGTTGTGGCCTAGGCTTCCCGGGATAAAACTTGCTATGATTCAATGTTTGAGCATTCAAACAAAGAATCCGGCGAGCAAGTCAAGGTTATGAACACAGTATGGCTAAAGAAAGAGTAGAAGCAGAGAGGTTTTGAGGCTAAAAAGATGAACTTTCGTGTTCTATTTTTCTGTGTAAAACTCTACTGCCCAACTCCTTGTTATATAGGGGTGGAGGATTTAAATAGCTTTTATTAGGCACTTAAGGGCACCCCTCCACCTTCCTGTAACAGCAACCATTAGCATGACCTTCAATTCAAAATTAAAAATTGGAATTAACTCAAAAAAAAAAATAATAATAATAATAATATTATTATTATTATTATTATTATTATTATTATTAGGGAAAATGACATTTTTCCCCCTATGTTATATACTTATAGTACTTTTTTCCCTGAATTATTTAAGTGACAGTTTTTCCCATTGATATGTTAAATGGACTTTTCTTCTCCAACAAATTATAATCACGATTTGGTTCAAACCGAACAGACACTATAGCAACCAAACAGAAAGGTTATGATGACAATTTAGAACCGGAACCCGACATTTAGAGTTTATTAAAATCGCGAATCGAAACTGCCAGTTCATGTTCTGAATTGAAAAAATAAAATACATTAGTTGTTGAATTTAGAATATTCTAAACGAATATTTAAAAGAAAGTTTGAACCAGCAGTTCAAATTGGATTTGAAACCATGAATTGACCTTATTGACGGTTCAAAATCAAAACCAAATCCCGTTTATATATACTTATATATGAGAATCAAAATAAATGCAAAAAAGAACATACACTATTTACAAATATTATAATTATAATGTTAAGCTAATGCTAGTAGTTGTTCCGATTTGAACTGCCGGTTCACGGTTTAGAATCCATCTTTTTCAATTCACGATTTTAATAAACGGAAATCCAAATATTGGGTTCTGGTTTTGAATCATAACAAAAAAAATTCGATTTGATTGCTATAGTATCTGGTTCATTTCGAACTGAACCGTGGTCATCCCTACGTATAAGTACTAATTTGTTGAAGAAGAGAAATAAATAAAATATTTATTTTAAGGGTAGAAATGTCCATTTAATATATCAAGGGAAAAATTGTCACTTTTATAATAATTGAGGTGGCAAATGTGGATGCATGAATAACTCAAAAAGAAAAAGTGCTATAAGCATATGACTCAGGGGAAAAAGTGTTATTTTTCCTAATAATAATTTATAGAGTGGACCCTTAAATGAAACTCTTAATTATTTTGAGATATATTTATATGTATAGGTTCTACATACACCAAGTTTTTGTGAAGAAGAATACATATTCAGAGTGCATTACGGGCTGCGTACAACCCCGGCGGATTATGAACCAATGCTCATTTCCATTGGCCCCTATTTTCATCGGAATTCGCCCAATTGGATGATGCAATGGAATTCGCCCAATTGGAAGATGCAATGGAATTCGCCCAAAGTGATGAACTTGAAAGAGCGGTACTTGCAATCATTTTTAAAAAGAGCAGAAGGGCGCGGATTGACTAAAGAGAACATTAGGAATAAATTAAAGGGTTTGGAAACCAGAGCAAAAAGTTATTATGGTGATCCAATAATAGATATGGGTGAAAAAGAATTTGTAGAAATGTTATTACATGATGGTTGCTTTGTAGTGGAATTTGTTGTTAGATCAAAGTCAACAACAACAACTGGATGTAGTGATCCTCCTATTCTCGTGGCTGACTGGATGGAAGTTCAAATTGTTCGAGACATGTTGCTGATGGAGAACCAACTCCCCTTCTTTGTTCTTAATGAACTCTATCAAATGATAATGGAAACTACACAAGACAAGGCACCCTTCTTGAGTTTGGTGGAATTCACATTTTCAGATGTGCTATCAAAGCTCAGGTATTTCTCCTTGATCCTGAATGAGGTGAATGACCAAGAGGTAAAGCATTTACTTCAACTGGTGCATATTCTTTGCCGCCCTCATCAATCCCAAGTAACTCAAGTAAGGACGACACCGCACCCTGCAGCTTCCATGGAATCAAGCTATATACGTTCTGCAAGCGAGCTTTTAGAAGCAGGAGTTGACTTCAAAAAGGTTGAAGCTGGCATGATGAGTCTATTTGATATAAGATTCAATCGCGGCACACTTGAGATCCCCTCGCTCAGACTTGGGGATTCATCGGTCAGCCTTTTCAAGAATCTCATAGCCTACGAGCAGCATTCCATTGATGTGTATCCCAAGTATTTCTCAGATTACGTGGTATTCATGGATGATCTTATCAAAACAGACAAGGATGTCAGCATACTTCGCCTCAATGGAATTATCTTAAATGGGTTAGGTTTTGACTGGGAAGTGGCTCGTCTTTTTAACACCCTAGCTAAAGGGGTTGTATATTCGAGTCGTGACTACTGTTACGCTAATGTGTGCTACGATTTGATTCAACATTGCAAGAAACCAAGGAATGTGTTGATGTCAAAGTTAAGACGTGATTATTTTCACAGTCCATGGGCAGGGATTTCAACCGTTGCAGCTATACTGCTTCTTTTCCTCACTGCTACACAGACTATTACAAGTATCTTGGGTCTGTATAAATAATGCCATGACATCCTAAGTGTGTGTGTTCAGGATTTTAAAGTCTGATCTATTATGCAAAGTGTGAGCAATAAACACTTTTATCATTTTACCTGCAGGCCTGTACTTCAATTCTCTATTGTAATTAACAAACCAAGTTGCTTAAACCTTTGTGTTGAATGTGTGACCTTACCTTTTCAATAACTTGTTTACTACACACTAGTTGTTGGCCCCTTTACTACACACTAGTTGTTGGTTAAAATAAATAAGTGTTCTTTTCTGGCTTGGAGAATGCTGAAAAGAAAGTTGCCTGCCTTGGCTGTGGATATATGACGACTTTAATTTGTAAATGTAGAGGCCAGGTTTCCTTAGCTTAGCTTGTTTTTGTTTTGGTCTCAGATCAGAGATGGTGCTGCTTGAGTTTTGTAGTATGTCTGCAGCAGAGGATTAATTAGTCTTTGGTGCAATTGTTTTTGTTTAGTTTAGCAGAGGATTAATTATGTAATTTAATTAGTGGAGTTAATTGCATGTGTTCCTAGAATTAGGATAGTGAGAGTAATATTAACACTCTTCAATTAGCATAAGCAATACAATATTTATATTATGTTCTTATAGTATACATGAATAAGATTATAATAAAATTATCATACCTTTCAATATTCTCTATATTTCTATTATGTCTCCCAATAGTCTCTCCATACTCTCTCATCTCTTTAATCTTTCTTCTCCCTCAAAAAATAGAGCGAAACAGAGATCTTTCTATAAGCTTACATGAATTATCATCACCTACCTTTCTCTATTGTTGAATTCATTCACGCCATTGCATCTGATAGGGAATATACCCCGAATTCAGCCTCCCCGAACGCTTCGTTCTCCTATTTAGGTCGGGGTCAAACGGATCGGATTGGGTCATGGTCTAAATTGACGGGTCAAGTCTTATATAAAGGGCATTAGCCCTCATTATAGGGGAGCCTTTTCCGTCTCCTCCACTCTCTCTCTCTCTAGAGCATATAATCCTCTCTACTCTCTCTAAATATTCCATGATTGCAATAGGCGCTAGTCGGGCGGTAGAGTAGCGCCTAGTGCCAAGACGGCCTAGGCGGGGCCTAAGCGGCCTAGGCAGTCGCCTAGGCGGCTAACTGAAAATATAGAAAACAGTGCACGTGTGTAGGTACATACATGTCATATTATACATACATACATACATACACACACACACATATATATATATGTGTGTGTGTGTGTTATAAATGAAAAAAATTAGCAAGGTCGAGTCAGCGGGGTTAACTCGGCTAACTCGACAGAAATTGACGAGTTAACTCGGCGTAATCGGCTGAGTTAGGCACTAGGCGGCCGAATTAGGCGCTAGGCAACCGAATTAGGCGCTAGGCGGCCGCTCGCCTAGGCGGGAGCCTAGTGGGAAAATCGCCACGGTCTAGGGGTGCCTAGCGCCTAGGCGCCGAATACTCGGTGCCTAGGCGGGATTTTTGCAACCCTGAAATATTCAAGAACAACATTGAATAAAAGAGTTCTTTGATCTCATCTTCATATGATTCTCATACTTGCCTGTACATATAATATACACTGCTATACATAGACGGGTTTCTTCATCAGCATCATTTACCATATGGAAGATTTATATAATAATGGGTACTTAAAATTTCAAACGTGACTATTAGTAATGGGAGCTAGACACTAGTAATACATAAATCGTTTCTAATACACTTTCATCCTCCTAATTAGAACTCGATCTTCATAGCCACCACTACTTTTTCAACTTTCCATGGGATATTAGGAGGTGGTGGTGATCAAGGATGGGTAAACTTTTGTATGTGCTTTAACTTCTTGAGATTGTGAACAGTTTTTATTCATTGACGTAGCTAGGCCTCAAATTGTGGTTGATCTTTTGAGTTTTTTTTTTTTTTCAATTACAATGCTAATTTCTTCAATCGTCCACGGCGCACATAGCACTGTGCGTCGCGCGCCTCCCAAAACGACGTTGTTTTGGGATCGTTTTGGGAGGCGCGGTAGGAAGTTACTGAGATTATGTGTATTTATTCACAAAGTTATGTGTATTTGTTCATACAGTTATGTGTATTGGTTCATACAGTTATGTACATTTTTTATACAATTATGTACATTCTTTTTATACAATTATGTACATCCGAATCAGAAAATTTGTGTGTATTATGTTAAGAGTTGATGTGTATTATGTTAAAAGTTTATGTTTATTATGTATTATGTTAGATTATGTGTATTATCTTTTAAAAAGAGTATGTATATTTTGTTATATAATTATGTACATTCATGTATACAATTATGTGTATTCTAGTATAACATTATGTACATTCTTGAACAGCGGGTTTTTTTTAAAGAAAAAATTACTGCCATTCACTGGGGCGGGAAATTTCAAAAAAAAAAAAAATTAAAACGACGTCGTTTTGCATCTGGGCGCATAGTACAACGCGCGCCGTGGTGTAGGATATAACTTGCATTTCTTAGAGGATATCTACCTATTTTCTTGGGCCATCTAATTGGGGTTGATCTTTTACCAATTTATGAAAATTGTTGTGAGACGAATAATTACTCATGTCATGGTTAATCTCCTCAATTCATACAATTAAGAGAATTATTATTAACTGCTTTGCCATGACAGTATGTGAATAGAAAAGAAAATAAAAGCACCAATTAATATGACTGTGTGTTTCATTTCAAGATTTGTCTTTTGTAATACTCTGATCCATCCGTCCCATTTGCTTGTCTAGTTAAGTTAACGAGGTTTAACTAAAGTTATTTTTAATTCAATTTTTCATAATATTAAATTTAGTATTAGTATATAAAATTTATATATTTAGAAACTAAATTAAAAGTACTATTTAACAAAAAAAATAATTAAAATTACTAAAGAAAATAAGCAAGGAAAAAAGAGTTGGTTTGACCAATGAATAATAAATATGACATGCCAAATGTGACAGAGGGAGTATTAAAAGAAAATGATAATTATGGAGGAAAAAAAAAGGTAATGGATGCTTACACAGATTGACTCAATAAAAACACTAATATTAGGTACTCAAATTTAGTACATAGCTGGAGAAATCTTTCTAGCAGGCTTCCGGCTCTAATCCGTATTCAAGCTATGGTAGACCAAAATAAAAACAAAATAACAAGAAAAATGATTTATGGATGTATTTAACATTACATAAATATAATAATGAAATGACTAATAATTATCCTTTTAATTAGTAATAATTATTTTTGTTGCGGGATTAGCATCAATGGGCGTATCACACTAGCAGTTGAGAAGGATAAGGATTAGTGAGAAGGAAAGTTTTGGTAAAGCATCCATGTCAATTGTACTGTGCAAGCAAGAGCCGGAACCTATTCTTCATGCATTGCGGGACTGCCCTTAGCTTGTGGTATACTTTGTTTTGAATCAATAATAGTATGTCCTCATGTTATAAAAGTAAAAAATAAGAATAAGTGTAATGTAATATTATTACTTCATAAATTATTATAAGTTTACTGCAGAATACAAATTTAATGACGAAAACAACGACTTTAATCATCACACAAACTTGTGGCATCATATAATGTTCAAAGACTAGTTATCCCACATATTTACAACGAAACCCACAATTACAAAACTTAGTAACAAAAAAATCAAGAGATGTCCCATTTCACATTTACATTGAAAATTAAATCAAGAGATGTCCCATTTCACATTTACATTGAAAATTGAAAATTATGATATTTACATCTTCAACCTCAACTTTTCACTCTCTCCTATTTGCACGTATGGTAACTTCCGCTGCTTTTTACTGATGCGTTGCTAATATTTTGGCCGGTTTTCTTTTCAGTTTTCACCGTGTGAACCCCCCGCTTCCCATCTTGTCCAAAGTCATCACGTCGGCTCAACTGTCAATTTTGTCGGCGTCTAAAGTAACTGCTTGTAACTACCATCCTGTTGGCTGTTGGTGCGTGAACCTACCATTTACATCTCTTGCGCGTCTGGAATGTGTTCCGACAGCCTCCAAATTTTGACGGATTTATCTAAACTCCCACTGTACAATCTCCACCGTCCATCCTCCGCGGCATCATCATTGTCTTCCTCGACAACCGCCAAGCACTTGACGGGCCCAGTGTGCCCCGTCAGCACGGAGACACAAGTGTGCACCCCGCCTTCCTCCCTCCGCCACACGCATATGCTCTTGTCCGCCGACCCGCTCACCACCAAACTCCCCGCGCCGGCCAAGCACAGCACGGCGAGTTTGTGACCCCTCAGCGCGCCTCTGTACTCCACGAAGTGCTCCTCCCGTTCCCAGAAGTTCACCAGCCCGTCGGAGGAACCCGCGTACACCGCCGCCGCCGCCTCGGCGTTCACCGCCAACGACGTCACGGCGCTTTCTTGATTCAACAGCGTCTCCACCAGCACGTGCTTCGTCACTTTTCCGACCAGTTCTCGCCTCCATGCTTTCACCGTTCCGTCAGCCGAGCCGGTGAAGACAAATCCGTCGAACCCAACGACCACCGCGTTGACGGCGTCATCATGGGCTTTAACGGATTCGATACATTTCGAATCGCGTAATCTCCACACCTTCACTGTTTTATCCCAAGAACCGGAATAGAGTAATCCTTGATCCAAATCTACGCTCATGCAGGAAACGGCGTCGAAATGCTTGATCCACGGAACGCTCCGGTTTCTTCGGACTGCCACGTAAGCTTTGGGATTCATGGAGGATTTGATATAATCCTTAGTGGTAGGTAAACTACCAAGACGCGTATAACTCTTCTTTGTCAGACCCGAAGCTTTCCAGACCCGAATTTTACCGTCCTGATGACCCGTAAAAATCTTGCCACCCCACACAACAATCGCCTTCACCAACCCGCTATTCGACTTGAACCCGGAATACTCCTCAAATTTATTCCAGACCCGGATGTTTCTACTATCCGAACCCGTGTACAGAAGATCACCCGAAGCTGCTAGCGAGTACACGTGTCCTTCTTCTCGGACAATCGATCCGATGAGGCTGCTTTTACCGTCGATGCAAACCGGAGATTGGACCGGAAGTTGAAGAATCCACGGCGATTTAACATACGGAGAGGCGGCCACTTGGCTCCAAGGGGACATGAGAAAAGGGGAGTAGGGAGTGCTGCTGTTACTGGGACTCCCAGCGGCGGCCAGAAAGCGAGTTGGGCTGGGAGCGGAGGATGCGCCGCTGCTACTACGACGGCGCGGCGAGCTGTCATCGCTATCTTCGTGATGGTCGCTTAAAAAGGCGGGATCCGAGAAAAGAAAGGCGCCGAGTTTTTGCCGTCCGAGGACTTCTTTCTGAGAGAACAACGTTGCTGCATCACTGTTCTTTGTCTTTGCCATAGTTCTTTCTGTATAGTAGGAAGTAAGAGATGGAAGCTAATTTAAGGTAGCTTAATTAATCAGTGTGTAAAGAAAAGTAGGATTTTTTTTTTCCAGCAAGAAATGAGAATGAAATGAAAGAATGATATAATAATGTAACGGGCAGGAGAGGAAATGGGAGATATATAAGCGTATGGTTGAGAAGGATATATGGCGGTTTGGATTGGATTATTATAGATACGTAAGGTGGAAGGGAAAGACACGTGTGAGGATGATACGTGTAGTCTACGATAGATAATAAAGAGAAGAATATGCTGCTGAAAAAGATGAACTGTGGTAAAATTCTAAGTTCCATATATTTATTGTTTTATTGACTAATTTAACCAAATTTGTACTTCAAGATTTGGTAATCTTTAACTTTAGGTTTTTAAATAAAATTAAGGATACATTTGATCTCACCATACATTAAAAAATAATTTATTTATTAATGAAATACGATTGCTGAAAAGATTTTTGTAAAAAAATTAATATGTAAAAATAACATATAGTAGGTGTATATTATTTAATCAATAATAATAATTTTGGTGGTTGAATTACCAACGTAACCGTGTCCATGTACGATTAGTAGAGCAGAAGATTGATCTGAGGGCGTAGAAGGAAAGGAGACAAGTAAGTAAGCGGATTGGTAGGGTATTTGTGCGTGGCGTTGCTACATACATTCCTTGTACCAAAGACATGCAGGACGGTTGATACTTTCATATCTAGAAGCCTAGTCATGCAAAATTGCGAATTGAATATATTATTTATGGTATTTGACCATTATATTATTGGTTGTCTCTCCACCAAACCAAGCAAATACATGCATGTCGGGATTAGATTCGATGGTCGTGGTCAATTTCCCATTTGGGGTAACTACGTACGTATTATTATACGACCTGAGGTAATCGTGCACCACGTGCGTAAATCAACCCAATTCAAATTAACTTGCAATTACATTTTAATATATTTTAAATTTTGTGTACGTGGCAGTGAGCTGAGGATGACGATGATGAATGCTTTTTTTTTTTTTTTTTTTTTTTTTTTTTTTTTAATGCTTTGAATTATATTTAGGCAACATATCCAATATTACAAATTTTTTCTTGTAAGTAACTCTTCAATTCTTAACACTACATTTTACTTTGTATTTTCTTTTATCAAAAGTATCACATTTCTTTTATAAGTATTACATTTTTTTCATAAATATTACAATTTCTCACATATAAAGATTTGTGAAGTGCGATCTCACAGGGGACTCACCCTTATTGATGAAAATGTAATATTAATCGGGACATAAATTAATTGTCACGTATCATATTATAAAGAAAAGTGTGATACTTTCAAGAGAAAAAAAAATGCACATGTAATATGTAGATCAAAGGCTGAAATGTAATTTTTTTTTTTTAAAAAAATATACTTTTAAATTAAAATCTAATATTTAAGAGGTTAAAGAGTAATTTATGAGATAAAAGGTAACCCGACATGTCTTGTAGTCTGCTAAGAGTTTTTATAAAGATTTAATTATTTTTACTCTTTTTTATGATCATCGGATCGGCATATGAAATTCAAATTCAAAATGAATTATATAGTCCGTATAATGTAAGTATGAATGCAGTGGTGTCAAAAAGTGTTTGTAATATATTGGTCTGACCTAAACGACTGACTGTTTCATTTGTATGTTTCTTGAAAATGGATTGGCAAGACCAAAGAAGAAACGCCCGTTTTTAAGGATAAACTTGTTGAATTTGAATGGTAATTTAGAGGAGAAAATGTCAACAGAGCAGCGTGGAAAGCAACCTAACTAATAAATGTGAATGTATAGGTATGAAGTCGTCCAAATAAAGCCGCCACGTAAAGACTAAAGAGGCGCAGTGGTGCGGCGCAGATGGACCCAACTTGAGCAAGACGCAACCCCCAACGCACCATTATTTCCTGATGAATTGAATATTTGAATGTGGTGAAGTCATCAACCTGCAGACACTGCCACTGCACACCACAACAATTGAAGCGTGGGTCCACATGGACAGCTCAATTAATCACATGTGAAGTTTAGAAACAACAATAATTGAAGCATGGAATTTTTAATTTTTATATATATTTTACAACACTACTATGTCACCAATAATAATGCAAGCTAGTTGTGCCATAAGACTAGTCCAATTAGTTTGAGTACGTATTATTTGACAGATCACCTTAAGTTTTGCTCCGGTGACTTGCAATATAGATTCAAATTTCACTGGTCGATGATCAAGCTTGACGGGGACTCACGATTTACTTCTAATCATTTTTGGAAAGGGGCTTTGGAGACTTAAGATTAATCTTTCATAAGTTAGGAAAACATATATATATATATATATATATATATATATATATATATATAGTAGGTGTATCTATATTATATGAGTAATATGAGTAATGCTAATGTTCTTATTTTTCTCCTCCAATTAATCCCTCATGATCTGGCATTAGTTAATTAGTTACTAAATTTTCTTTTTAATTAGTGACGGGATCAGTCAATTCATGACATCTAATAAATAAAAGTCACATCATGAAGAGAAATATAAGAAAGAAAATTCATGAGGAAGAAGCATTTTACATATTATATTCATGCATACAATTATACAAATATGCAATCCTTCCAACCACCCTTTCTGATATATATTTCTGTAATTAAATTGCAGCTTTAATCGCCACCATCATCTCAAGTCTCAAACCATTACCAAACATGAAGAAAATCATCCTAGCTACGTTACAACCTATGCTACACACCTTAAACCTGCATGGGTCACCCCTTTCAGAATCTAGCCTTTACATACTGAATTTATAAAATACTGCTGGATATTCTCACAAAAAGTAATTTTTAATATTCAGTTTTGATAGGTCATTATTAATTTGAAGCTGTCCAATTCACATATAATCAATGGAAATAAATAGTTTCTTTATTTTAAATAAAAGCTTTTAAATAATTCAAGGTTGAAAAAATTGTTAGGCGCTTGAAGACCGCTTAGAGCCTAGGCGCGGGCGCCTAGAGCGATTAATCGGCGCCTAGAGTGCCAAGGCGGGCGCCTAGGTGGCCGACCGCCTAGCATCTAGGCGCCGATTAATCGGCGTCTAGGCCCAATTTTTGCAACAGTGAAATAATTTCATTGCATGTCACCCGAAAAATAATACTTGTCTTAAACTATACTTTAGTGAATATTAGGTAAGGATTTTAATGAGGGAAAATAACACTTGACTTGAACTATAGTAATAATTAAGTAGAACTCTTTTTCTAGCAATAAATTTGAATTTGAATCTCTATCTTTCTATCCTTTATTATTCCCAAACTTAACAAGGCTCAATTGGTCCAATGGCTTAAGTAATTTACAAGTACATGAAAATATCATTTTACCCTTCTAGCTTATAAAAGAAAGAAAAGACCGAGAAAATAAGGCTTCTCTCCACCATTTGGCAACATAAACCTAACATCATCTCACACTCTCCAAGACATACCTCCTCCCTTTTCTTATTCTTCATAGCTATGAAGCACCATTGGCATCCAATGAAAGCTTAATGATATTTGTACATGCACTATTACATCAAATAATGAAAATTTTGACATTAAAATCATGTCGAATTCTATTTATTTCTTTACATTATCGATGTTCATCCTATGATTTATATTAGGATTATAGACTGATAAATACCAACAATATGAATACATCTAGAATTTTTATGTTTTTTTTTGAAAAACAAAAATTAATGATGAATATTAAGAGACAAAATGAGGTAACGTTCCAAAAATATCTAATCCTTCCTAATTTATTATTACTTGCATAGGTGACACAAATAGCTGGCAATTAATTTGTATTTTTGTTGAAGATATATTGCATGTGCAGTAGCGAGCTTAAATGTGAACATGTTTGAAACGATGACGTTGACTCGCTCGTCAAAATGAATCCGCCACGTATGCTGCGCTGCTTCCTACTTCCTACATATATGCAATCAAAACGCAAACGAATTGAACGCTCTTATGCCCACATAAGCCCGATGGATGGGGGTAACCCATCCAATCAGACACTGCCACCTTGCACACAATAATTGGTCGCTGGCTACCTTCGTCTTCATAATGCCGGGGACATCCTCAATAGTTAATGATTTTACCCTAGATTTTTGTGGGCCCCAACATCCACCTCATCAAAAAAAAAAAAAAAAAAAAAAGAAGAAGAAGCTGGCCGTTGCAAAAATAAAACCAAAAAAACAAAACAAAAAAAAGAGATCAAAGATCTTCAAATGAGAGTGGCCGCCAGCCGGCGGCCACTCTCAAACAGGGCCGGTCCAAACATTTTATAGGCCCGGGGCGAAATTAAAAAAATGGGCCCTATATGAAAACTTGAAATTAAAATTTAATAATACTAATAAAATCATGACGTCAAATAACATGAAATAAGATTAGAAAAATTTCAACAATTTTTTTATATACAAAAATATTCATGTTCAATCCCTGCAACAATAAAGATTAATATTCTGCATAAATAAATGAAATTATAACATATAGGCCAATTAATTCCGAATAAATCCTCATTAATATTTGGACATCAACATTCAACTGGAGCAATCCAGAAAGATTAAAAAGAGACAATATGAATCACTACAGCAAAGTAATTAGTAAATTAAACCAAAAAATAACTTTGGCATCTGACAGATGCCATTTTACTTTGAGAAGCAATAGATACAACAATACAGCTTCATCTCAAAAAAAAAAAAAGATACAACAATACAGCTTATTCAATATTTCAATTAACAATTAGGAATTTAGAATTCTGGATAAATGGATAATTATTTAATCTGCAAACTAAGCCATGACTTGTAGTTTTCAATTCTAAAAATCCCAATTAAAAATTATCATTCTTAAATAAATTATAGAGCTTTCACAAATCAGAATTTTACAAATTCCTAATGCAGTACATTCTACAATTCTGCAAATCCCAATTCTCAAATGGCCAAATCATAGACTTTTCAACAATACAATTAACAATATGGCCTAATTCCCAAATCATAGCTTTCAAAAAAAAATCTCAAATCATAAAAATTAAAATACCTTTGCAAATTACAATAGTAGACCGGAGTGGTAAAGGCGTGGCGAACAGAGTCAGGACCGACTGACCGCAGAGAAGATTTGTTATTTGTGGATTATGAAAGTAGATTGTCATTCACTCGTTTGCCCATTCTTATTTAGCTTCTGGACATTTAATAACTCCTTGAGAGGAATTGAACAGTTGTTGTGGCGAGAGGTATTAAATGGTTGTGGCTTGCGATGTGCCGATGCCTTTTTTCTTCGATTCTTCCTAAATCTTCCATCTATTCGACTTTCATAAGAAGTCGTTAAGTCAAAAATAATTAAATAATTTTTCTAATATATACTAAGTAATATATAATATACAATATATTATTATATCTTAGTCTATGGGCCCCCTCTAGGGATGGGCCCTGGGCAGCGGCCCATGCCCCAAGGCCGGCCCTGCTCTCAAATCTCAATGGCCCATGCGGGCCACTCTCTCACTTTTTTTTTTAATAAAATTCTGACACTGCTGATAAAATGTGGGGGTGTTACAGGAGAAAATTTTTTCAAAAATGCAACACCTCCATTTATTAAAAGTTTATTAGGTTAGATTTTGTTGTTCCAAAATCTCCAAAGATTTTCTTATTGGGGATGCCCTAATCGTAAATCGTAATTAGTCATGTCACCCTGACGCACACAAGAAAGAAAGAAAAAATGTCTCTGATATAATTGTAAACAAAGGTGAAGTAAAACTTATGAAGATCTTTAAAAAAAAAAAAAAAAAAAAAAAAAAAAAAAAAAAACAACTTATTAAGAAGATAATGTGCAACAACCTCAATCAAGAGTGAATTCATTATCATTTAGGTACGAGAATTCTGTTCCATTCATTTGATTACCGCGTTCTGAGTGATGATTTCTCATTATTGATTCATAAATACGATATAATTGAATATTTAAAATAGTGTTTACATGATTTTAATTATTACTTGTGATGGATTTAATTAACTCGGGGCAGCCCAAATAACTAAACTAGACAGTATATAAAGAATAAAGATAAATGGATAATAAAGTCGAAAAAGACAAGGAATATATGTCGCGGAGATAATTCTTGTATTAATGTAGTGTTGTAAAAATATTACAAATAGTTGTAATGATTGAACATGTGAATAGATGAGAGATGTCCTAACTAAAACAATAATGCATTATTTTATATTAAGTTTCCTCCTAGCCACCCCTATGAGAATAAGGTAGGTGGTTGGATCTCATTGACCGAGTCCACGCACGTAGCGCGCAAGGTGAGCACCCCAACCGAGGCCACCCCGAGTTGAGGCCGCCCAAGGCTAAGGCCACCCCAAGCCGAGGCCACCCTAGGCTGAGGCCGCCCAAGCCGAGGTCACCACGGGTTGAGGCTTCCCCCAGCCTGGGTCATCCTCCGGGTTGTCTTCACTTATCCTCAGGTCAGTTTGATCCGTGTCCATCTCTAATATATCCATCAATTAACTTGAATATATTATATATGATCTGGGGTCCATATTGTTTCATGACAAAGTGGAATTTCCTAGCCATTGATGAACGATTCAAGAAAGCAGCGACTGGACTAGAGTTTGCAGCGAACACACTATATCGTGCTAATTAATTCATGAGGGCTCTTATTATTGTATGTATAAGCAATCCAATGACCCATTATATTGATATACCATGTGTTGGTTTTAGGATTTTTGGGACCCACGGAGGTCCAATACAATCCGTTAGATTGGAGGATTCACCGGAAAAGAGACTCTAAAGTGACTTTCGAATGAGAATGACAACTACATAGCTTGGGATTTCTTTTTGATTTCTTTCTGATTTTCAAGTACTTTTTGCCTGAAAAGAAGACCGGTCTTCTATATGTTTGAGGGAGACCTATTTATAGGTGTCCGGCCCTTACAAATTTAAATACAACTTTTAATGTGAAATAATGAGAAATAAAAAGGCTAAGAGTCGTTGGGTCGCCGTTACTAGGCTCTCCCAACGGCTGGATTGACCCGCATTAATGGCGGTCATTGAAGCAACAACGGTCACCGGTTGGGTTGACTCCTGTTGTTGCCTACTCCCTGGACTCGGCTCCCCACTCGTCCGCGCTTCCTCAGGGTCTGCTCAAGGCCCAAAGCGTAGATTTCTTTTATTCTTTTGGGCCTATTACGACAAGCCCATTTCTTGGTCCATTCTTTCTTCTTGGGCCTCAAGCCCATTGGGTCCACTGGTTTTTCTATCAATATATTCTGTTGAAGGTTTAATTTCTCAACTGGTTCAAGTTGTGATGAAGATAGCCTGCACGTCAAGTCCATAGTGATGCTGGAGTAGTCGCTAGATCGGAGTAGTGCGTTGCGCTGGAGTAGTGTAGTTTATGCTTTAGTGTGTAATGTACTCTCCCTTGTACTCCTAGTTGATCATCTAGTGGATTGGGCTGACGTGAGTGGCCCCGCAGACGTAAGAGTGAGGCTCCAGACTGCGTGAACATTTCCTGATGCACGGTTCCTTTTATTGCTTTTATAATTAATTTCTTTATTCTGTCTAGATCCTCGAGCTAATCCAACTTAATTATTAAATTAAAATTTAATAGGAACCTTTAGGTTATATTTTACATTCAAGATCCACGAGCCTTTTTCAAACCAAATCCATGGAGCAATCATGCACTGACGAGCATGATGCATACTTCTCGTGACCA